GCTCTGGGATCAAGCTCAGTAACAGACGTGCTTCATATTTTTTTTCCTTATATGGGAAGAAGGGAACAGGTACTGGCTTGTGCTTCTCTTCCAAAATCCAAAATCCATCTTGGGATGGTGTACAAAGAGAAGTGCACAAAACTGCTGGATAGCTGGCTGGTTGAGGTCTCTGGCTCTGGAGCCAGAGGTTGGGAGTTCGATTCCCCCACTGTGCTTCTTTGACAGGGGCTGGACTCGATCAATAGGGTCCCTTCCAGCTCTGCTGTTCTATGATGATGATGATGATGATTAAAAGCAAAGCAAAAAGGGTATGCTATGCGGATGAACCCTGGGAAATCTGTCATGACAATTACAGTACTTCTGGAAGTCGGTGTGGTGGAGGGAAAAGGCCTTTATAGAACTCATAGCTTCAAACATAATTTGATCAGACTTATTTTCGATGCTTCTTGATTTCGAGGGGAAGAACCATTGCTTGCTCTGAGATGCCCGGCATGCAAAATCATACACTAGGCACGCTTGGGCATATCAGGGCTAAAAGCACCACAGTAGATTTACCAATGTAGTAAAAGACTGGACTAGCTGAGATGCACAGAACTGAGTCAAACTCAAGGGAAAAAATGAATACATTAAAAAACACAAAAACCTTGTGGCACTCTAAAGTCTGTTATATTTTAATGTGAGCTTTCATTGACTTCAGGGTGACACAAGTTTTTTTTGTCTTTTTTTATGATGATGATGATTTTCTTTGGGTTTTGCCTGAGATGCTTGCACAGACTAACATGGCTGCCTCTTCCAGAATCGAGCATGTTTGCTTGGTCTGCAGAGACAGGTATGTCAGCAATTCAGGTACGTGCATCTGTCGCATCGTTTCAGGAGCAACAGTTTAAGCCGGTAAATGCCAACGTCTTTGATGTTCACATCCGGCAGGCAGGATACTTTTCAGTTACAGAAACTGCCCCTGCAGGTTATTAGCTGACGTGTCACTAGGAAAGAGCCAGCGAGCAAGTTCCATAAGGCAAAACAGCTCATTGTTGTTCTCTGCTTTTATTTGTTGATGATAATTTTCCAAAAGGAAAAATTAAGCTTCAAGCTACCTTTAGCTCAGAAAAGGAGAGGAAAGGAAGAGAAGACCTTTATGTTCCATTCTTAAAATTTCTTCTTGAAGATTAGCAACAATCCATGGAACAGCGCCAGTGCAACCAGAGAACCTGCAGTTCTCCATAAACAAATCTGCAGCAGGAGGAAAGGACAATGATGTGGTGTGGTTTATTTTTCTGCACTTCTGCTGGTGGCTCCTCTTTCTCACTTATAGGAATGAACTATCCACCCAATCCCATCCATCAAGCAGAACTGAAGAACAGATGAGGAGCTGCTTATGGAGAAAATCCAAAGCTGCACTCTGTGGTTGCTACATAGCTGTTAAGAGACAACAAGGATCTCAAAGTTGTGACACAACATCCTTAGCTTTTTATTTATTGGTGGCAGATGCTGGGGCAGCTTATGACCTCTGTGGTTTCTCTCCACTTCCAGATGTTAAAGGAATATGTGCCACACAATGTCCTTGCCCCCCCTTAACTAGTCTGCTGCTAGAAGTGCAGGAGAGAATTCTGTCCTGTTGCTGTTGCTGAAATAAGTTTCAACTGGCAGTCCAGTGCTTGGGGGGGAGCCATTTGGCCCTTTGCTTCAGGCAGCCAAATATTCTGTTGTGCCTGGAATTAAGAATAACTGAAGAGCAATAAAAGGAACAGGGCTTTTCTATCCTGTACAGTGGTGCCCCGCATGGTGAGGTTAATCCGTTCTGGATTAACCATCGCTATGGGGAAACATCACTATATGGAACAAAAAAAGCCCAAAACTCACCGTTATGCAATGTTCCTCCATAGCGCAGGCATTTTCGCACCCTCGGTAAGTGAGGGCAGGGCGCGAAAACACTGCGCGCAGCCATTTTGGGTGTTCCGGTGGCCATTTTGGAACCGCCGATCAGCTGAATTTTAAAAAACACTATGCGAAAATTGGTAAGCGAAACGCAAAGCAAGTTTTTGCCTATCTAGGCATCGGTATGCGATCGCATTAGCGATCCCAAAAAACGGATCGCTATGCGAATTCGTCGTTAATCAGTGCGCTCGTTATGCGAGGCACCACTGTATATGTCTAGGTAAAGGTTAAGGTTCCCCTTGACATTTAGTCCAGCCGTGTCCAACACTAGATTGCGCAGTGCTCATCCCCGTCTCCAAGCCATAGAGCCAGCGTTTGTACGTACTGTATACAGTTTCCGTGATCAAGTGGCCAGTGCAACTAGACATGGAATGCCGTTACCTTCCCACCAAGGTGGTACCTATTTATCTACTCGCATTTTTAGATGCTTTCGAACTGCTAGGTTGGCAGGAGTTGGGACAAAGCGACGGGAGCTGACTCCATCATGTAGATTCGATTTTACGACTGCTGGTCTTCTGACTTTGCAGCACAGAGGCTTCTGTGGTTTAACCCACACCGCCGCCTCATCCCTTTATATGTAAAGTGAGAACTTTCTATCAGTAAAGTGAGAACTTTAACCTCCACAACTATATATTTATAAATGACAATGATATCCTTTCTAGTTCTTGTCAAGTTTCACAACAACCCCTTCTGAGAGTTTCCTAGCATAAAGTACTGTAGAGTGTTGAATTTTTGGTTAAATTTCTCTAGTTTCACAGCAGAAGTGCAGGGATTCACAGAGCAGAATAGCTTCAAGTCCCCCAAAGTAATCCGCCTAGTTTGTCATTCACTGGCACTTACAGTCTCATTAAGTCACTCTGAGAAATTCTTAAGAAGAAAGAATAAAAGGTTTCATTACTTACAATTGTACAGATCAACAGCAAACTGACAAACAGAAATGACTGCTTCAGCATAACTAATTAGATTCTATGGCGGGAAAAATCACTGAGCAGAGAGGTGGGACTCCCTTTGAATTTGGAGACAGGAGGAAACTATTGGTTACTGCTGGCTAGATTGACAGACATACCAGCCCTGAAGGGTCCCTCCTAGCCACACCTTCTCCAGACAGCATGGCAGGTTGTACAAACTCCAACATACAGTAGTCAAAACTGGTTTACAACTCCTTTCTTCTGGGGGCTCTCTGGGACTGTGTAGCTTGCTCAAGACCACACAGATGTTTCTCCTTCTCTCAGGAGCCACAGTGCAGAATCAAATTCCCAATCTGTTCTAAGATTCCAGCACATCTGTAGAACTCTCTGCTCTGCAGTCCCACAGGATTCTTCGGTGGAGAAGGACAACCTGGCACACACACACACCCCAAAAGCAACCATGGTTACTGTGTAGTTTCTGGAGGAACTATGGCAGTAGGAAATTTGGCAGTGGTGTGGCATTCACTGGGTGCCAGATGGTCCAGCACAACTGTCCAGCCAAAGAAGTGGCCCAACCCTGCACTAAACCAACAAAAGAAGGAGTTCTACCGACCAGACAAAATATGGTCCAAACTTTTAAAGTTTAAAATATCTTCAGAGAAGCAGCCATCGAAGCATCACCCCAACAGACCAGGTGTAACTTTCATTTTATTTTAAAACAATTTAGCATTTATTTTATTTTCCTACTGGAGTGAGCAGGAATGAGAGAGTTTGTGAGTTAACTTGGATCAAAATAATCTTATTGATGTTATATCTGTTTTTTTTAAAAAAACCAGTATGTGTAAAATTGCAGGTTTACAAATAATTTTACAAAGATTTTCTCTCTCCACCTTCCCTAGATGATCCCATGCCTGATGACAAAAAAAACAACTCTTCAGTCTTAAATTAGCTGTGTTAGACAGTGGCACTTAAAACAGCCTTTTTGTTTTTACTGCCACAAATTCATTGTTGCCTTTACTGCAAGAGTCTATCTAGCACAACTACTCCACAGGAATATAGACAAGAGCAATATAAAGCATATAGGTCAGTATAATATTGTTTTCCTCCAACTTGAACAGGCCCACTGACTTAGCTACTCAATGGAAAGCCAGCCATGAAGTAAATCCCACTGGGTCCATGGGTGTAACCACCGTTCGAACGAGGAATGGGGCCCTGGCCACAAAGTTTTAGACTAGGAGCTGGGTAGAGCACCAGAGTCACCTCGACTGTTCTTGTTGATGGGGGTTAAACCCCTTGTGCAAATTACCACATAAACCGATGGATAACTCAGTGGTTGAGGTTTCTGGCTGCGGAGCTGCAGGTTGGGAGTTCAATTCCCACACTGGACCTCCTTGACAGGGGCTGGACTGGATGATCCACAGGGTCCCTTCCAGCAATGCAGTTCTAAGATGAGGATGGGTTTCGCGTGAGGGCCTGTCATTTGAAAAGGGCCTTCTCCTTCACCAGAACTTTATTACATCGTGGATATCTGCCACCTCGGAACACCGAAGCCTTTTTGCTCGACGTGATTTCTGGCACCGTCGATCCCCTTTGCAGGGACGTGGCTCCAAGCCATCCGGCGGCCGTCTGGAGACAGAAAAAACAAACAAAACCCAAGGGCTGGGGCCGGGGAGGACGATCTCCGCCCGGCCTCACCTTTCCTCCCTGCAGGAGGCCGCCGCCTTCGAAGTGGGCGAGGTGGGGCGGGGGCGAGAGCTGGCCGGGCGGGTCCTCCTCTCCCCTCCCCTCCGGCTGCTCCGGGCTATAAAATCCAGGGGAGCTGCACTCTCGCCACCCCTCCTGGCTTAGCCTTGCGCCCAGGACTCGCTGCCCTTTGCTCCGCTGCCGCTCAGTCCCAGGCCCCATCTGGCACCTCCCGCCATGAGTTATTCCCGGTCGTCGGTGTACTCCAGCTCTTCCTTCAGGCCCGGCGGCGGGGCCTCCGTCCGCTTCGGCCCCATGGC